CACATCAAAACCTCATGTCTAACTCTGATTTTACACACAAAGACGAATTTCAAACAATGCTACTGTGTTGTCAAGAAATGTGCATGATCAAGCTCTTCTCTACATCTTACCGGATCTGTTTTTTTTTTACTCCTGGCATCACCTTGACAAACAAATGTAGCTTTAATTTTCAAGCTAAACCTTAGTTTATAAACCTTAACCAACACATTAGAAAGATTCACTAGCTAATCCAATTTTGCCTTCACACCTATTAACTCTGACACTCCTGAATTACTCCAGATCAGCGTGTGGTCTTAATAATGTTGAAACAAGGAAAGAAGAGCTGCTCTGTCCTCTCAGACTCAACACGGGCTGACACTACAAAGAAACCTCTTATAATCATTTTTACTGATCAGAGGGGGGCCCAGCTGGCACCGTCCTGGGTGGACTTTGACAATACCACCATGCTCAGAAGATCACCCCTTGAGCCAGTAGACGTGCTGGTAAAGTACCACAGGTCAAAAGACATACAGAAATGGACTTAAAACATGTGGTGCATTTCATTGTGAAAAAATTTATTGGGATCGAATCACTATATGATGGGGAGCAGGTTGGAATTCTCATGGGGGAATTTGCTGTTTAACTGTCAGATTGCAACTTGTTTATGGAAACATTTCCGTAATTACAACCTATTCAGATTAAATCAAACTAGCATGGCCAATGTTTTCTCTTTCAATATTTGTTCAGAAGATACTTTTCTGGCAACAGTTTCAGAAAGTGGGGCTATTATTGTTAACATCAGTTATGTGTTTGTTGGACTTGTTGGAGGGTCCATCAAATGCTTTTCTTCGTGGAGATCTCATTGCTTTGTCTGTAATGTTTCACAGTATGGTATTTAGCCTTTTTTTTCTTCATGGAGACCAAACTCTGTTTCAAGTTATAGGTCAGATCTGTGAAGAGGCAACCCTGCTCATAGTCAGAATGCCTGTTTTTGATGCTTGAGCTTTAAAACCATGTGTAATTGAATAAATGTAAGGTAGACATTCTAGGCAGAGCAATGACATATCCATAAAAACAAGCAGGTGATGGATCCTCCACCAGAAAAGTTACACAATGCACCTTTAAGCCATAAGATGAACACTGCCAGTCAGTATAGCATATCCCGAATAAATAATGATAAGTGTTGTGGATCATGGGTACAGAATGCACAGATCTGATACTAGTATTGATATCAATCGATATCGCTGATACCATGAATATCACCAGATACTTAAAGCTATAGTATCGGAATATGTAACGAAACTGAAAACGCTGGAGGTTTGGATAGGTTTGGATATTTCTAGCAAAAACAGTGAATCTCCCATAGTTATACAGGTCTGCAATTTATGTGAAGAAAATTACATAATCAAATTTGAGAACTTATTGGGATGTCCTTGCTGTGTAGTGACAACATACCCATTTTAATGTAACCTTTTGCCACTGAGTAAAAATATTACAAGAACTTTTTTGTGCTACATTTGACTTGCACAACACTTACTAACCAGGTGGCCAAAGGCCTATTAAAGGTATGGCATCGCACTTATATGGAGTTCTAAGCTGTCCCATTGGTGCCCTTCCAATACGTCAGTGGTGAAATGTGGGCAGGGCACAGCAAAGACATGGCGCTATGTTCATTAACTTGTCAAAGCAGGAGACAAATGAGCTCTCCACCTCAGATTAATGGCATTAAAGAACATCTGCACTGACAATGGATGGCCCTATAAAGTTTGCAGACAGTCATAACAATAACATCACTGAGGACACATTAGAGACCACTAAGCAGATTTTCAGATGATATCCCATGGTGCATTGCTTCGTGCGTTGGTCTGTCCAGTGAGATTCCTGAGGCTGATCTGTCTGCTGACTTAACATGGTGGTGAGTTGAAAATGTTTGAGCTTTTATGTGTACAGTAATGAATATCCAATATAAGTTTTATAAGAAAAATCTTTAAATAACATTCACGCTCTACATTCACATTGTAAAATTTCAAATGGACAGTGAAAAGTCAGAAAAGAGAAAGACTGCAGCACTGAAATAATACATAAATGGTAAATGGTCACAATTTTATAAAGTGCTTTTCCACCCTCAAGGCACTCAAAGCGCTTTACATCAAGGAATCACTCACCCATTCACACACATTTTCATACACCCGTGTACACAGACACTGGGGGTGAGATGGGTGCCCAAGGACATGATGACAGCATTTGTCTGTGGAATCTGGAATCGCACTGCCAACCTGTGGATTAGTGGATCTGACTGCTCAAACAATGATGTTTATGTTGAAAGTGAGATTCGAACTCCTAACCTTCAGATCAGTGGACACTCATTCCACATTTTTGACCACAATGTTTAATTAAGACTACTGTAGCCCCCTCTCATTTAAGATAATATTATCTTACAAGAAATGGAATATGCTACATTTACAGCCAGAGAGTAACAGAAACCTATAATCCTCACATCAAACAAGTTCAAGGTAGGCATTGGCAGTGGGACTGTAAAATGAAATGTGGATTAGGAAATACATTCAAATCATTGTTTGTCCCTTATATTATGTGGGCATGTCATTATTGAAAAATGATCAGTTTCTTAATACATTTGTATTGTTTTGATTGTGATTTCCTCATTTATTTCTAATTTACAGTGACTCTCAAAATGAATGATGCACAAAGTAGCCATGCCACTGAGCCTGTGGTGTTCTCTCTATGAGGGGAGCGTAATTACAATTTTTCCACTTTGTTATGCCCTTCTGTCCAATCTGTTATATATTAGTATAAATGTGGCAAATCAACTGCATAGTCATTATGGAAATAGTAGCATTTCTAATTCTGCATGATCATCTAAATTGAGAGAAAATCTGAAAAATCACAGTCGGTATCTAAACTAATCACCATTCATCAACAGCAGACGATAACAGAGGATTTCCAGATGGCTGTCCATTTGGTTAAAAGGCACAAACTGTTCCACTATTATGGCAAAGATGAAGATTTACAACAACTCATTAAAACAAGCAAACTCTTCCATAAAGGGACCCATGGTAGTAGCAAACAATGTGTGCGTGTCCGTACCAGTAGCCAGCTCAGAAAAGTGATGCATGGCACAATGACTTGGAACAATGCTTTGGCTTTTTACCTGAAGTTTCTCGCCCATCAATTTATTTTTAAGAACAAAGCTACAGTCAATGACATCTTCAGTAGTGTGTTTGCCTGCACCTGCTACTACGAGCACAGGGAAGAAAGGTTAAGTGTGGGATGTGGCATTTGAAGACTCACACAAGAAACTTGCACTATTGATCAATATTGAGTTTAGATGTTTGCTACATGATTAACTATTCACTAGGCCTGTCACAATAGCTAATTTTGAAGCACGATATATCTGAACAGAGAAATATATATAAACTGCTTTATGCCACTGACACAAAGCAGGACAATCCCAGTAAATCTATTTTTAAATATACTGTCTCATTAAAAGACATGCACTGCAACAATTGAAAGCTCATTTAACCCTCTACAGCTCAAAGCTTATCATATTTCATAAAATGACAAAAATCTCCCCTCGATTGCAAATAAGAAAAATGTACACGCAATATATATATATATATATATATATATATATATATATATATATATATATATATATATATATATATATATATATATATATATATATAATATAGAGCCCCAAAATATATTGTCCCAGCTTTCATATACTGACCACTATTGAACACAGTCAATACAGTAATTATCATGACAGGCCTACCATTCATGCTAGGCCATTCAAATAATAAGACACGGAAATACTGTTACACGCTTACAACATGAAAAGTCCATTTTAATTATGACTCAGGTCTAGCATTTGTGGCGGACCTCTTTTCAAAATATCCTTTTATTATATTACTACACACTGTATCTTAAAATGTGCAATAGTTCAAAGTCTTATACTAACAGACTAATGATTACTTAGACTTGAGACAATACGACTCATGACATCACAACTCCCTGCCTTGTTATGCACTCATTACACCATCCGGATGGGAGTATAATGCCATGTAAGAGCAGAAACTGGACAGCTTAAAGAGGAGAGGCCCTCAGAAACCCCATCTTAAAGCACACTACATGCTCTCAGAGACTGATGCTGTGTAACATGTGCAACTCCCCGGGCTAGCATGTCACCCAATGAATCGAGACAGGAGAGATGGCATGACCCACTTCTATAAAGGGTGATACAGCTTCCTATTTTTGCTATTGAAATCCCACATGTAGGTACCAGTGTTGTTCACTGTAGAGCAGTGGGGTTGACTATTCCCATCACTGGAAAGGGCAAAGGTGACATACATGCGGGGTTATGTGAATGCTAGTCCTTGTTGGTTGTCCTTTTTGCTCAATCAATAGATTTACAATGTGCTTCTGACCTTCTTAGGATGACATTTTAGTCAATAGCAGTATCTAGCTTTGGTTAAATATAGGGCTATCCCAGACACTGTAGTTTACCCTAGCCTCCATTGTAAAGATCTCATTTTAGCACTCTTTTGTTGCAAGGAGAGACATTACCAGGACAAATAGGTTCTTTTATCCCGTGGCAGAATCATCGAGGAGCACAGAGCAAAGAGCCAGAGATTATCAGAATAGTGAAGCAGTCCGGTGCGCACTTATCTCTCCTCCAATAAGCCATTCTGAAACGATGTAGCCATGCTTATCAGGGGCTATTAAAAACGCCATTATCCACTCAAACAAGTGTTACACACGCAAATAAACCAATTAACTCCTGGCTCGTGCGCAAGAGGAGTTGTCTAAATAGAAACCCATTAGGAGCCTGCGTGGTTTGATCACGAACATTGCACCCCTTCATAAACATGGGGGCTTTTATGTTGTCCGTGTGGTGTAGTAATGGTAATTGACTAGTTGCACTGAACACGATAAACAGCAAGGGGCAAATTGACATGTTATGACAATTGATAATAGGATGTAGTCCGTCACCAACTCACCTCTCACATGCTGCGGGACAGCGGTGCCCAAACACAGCGCGAGGGAAAGGAGAAGTGGTCCCATCCTCTCTGCGTGTCGCTCAACAACAACAAACCCGTGTGACAGCCTGGCTTCCAAGGTTAAAGATACGGCCGAAAATCACCAAGCAAAAGCCAAAAGTTCTCCTTCGTCCGTGGTGGCTGAGCAGTAATTTTCGCCGCTGAATACGTCCGGTAAATTGAGTTATAAAGGTGAGGTCCTCTCTGTTGATGGAGAGCGCGCATTCAAGTTTGTGTTCTCGATTGGATGAGATGTGGAACAAGTGAACCGGACGCGGCAAGTCCTCCGGTCCTGGTACTGTCTCCTACCGCAGTGGTGCGATGTAGTGGAGACAGCGACGTGCGCGCTCAGCTCCCGGACAATTAAAGACAAGCGCACGGACGTAACACTGCACCTCCGCAAAGCACCTTCAAAATAAGGCACGCAAGCGCACAACTTCCGCTCTTCACATAGGCTGAATTTATAAAACCAACGAACTAAGGTAAAATAAAATCACCTTTGTTTCTAATAAACCCTGGCTGTCCTAATTCCAAATTTAGCTCACGTTTGGCCTTATGGGTTTTATCACTGTTAAATAATAATAATAATAATAATAATAATAATAATAATAATAATAATAATAATAATAACAATCATAATAATAATAATAATAATATAATAATAATAATCATAATAATAATAATAATAATCATAATAATAATAATAATAATTTAAAAAATACCAAAGAAACCAAAAAAAATAAATAAATAAAATGGGCACGGTATCCTACTTATTAGTCCATGGCAATATATCTGGCTCTGACAGTTGAGTCTTTGTGTAACCTATGTAAAATCATGGAAAGTAAATGTTTCTGATTTGAATGGAGCAGAGAATGGCAGTGTCACGACCAGCTGCCACTGTTCAAGGCATACCCTAAAACAAGATTCTAGGCTCATCAACCAGGGTCACCAAACAATGTTTTAAGAAAAACCTTCTCTTATTAAAGATTTTTTACAGACTTACCTTGTCTAAGAAAAGTAATTTCAAAAGCCTTCCAGACAGAGACTTGAAATTGTATAATCAGCCTCTTCTGCCTTCCCCTATAACCTATTTTAACTCTCCCAATGGTTTCCTCTGAGGTATAAAGAAATCGGGGTTACTTATGATGAATTAGGCTTTTTTCAAGCACCCTTTCTTTAAAAGCCTCTGCTGCTGAGGAGCTGCAGTTTAAATCCCTCCAGATTAAAGTGTTTATGGCAGGTATCTGAAATTACACTTGCAATAGGCTAGAGGTTTGTGAGCACATCAACAATGCGCCCGCACTGTCTATAAAGAAGACACAATGCCTTTTTTCTGCAATATAGTTTTAATCTATGACACCCATGGATTATGATTTTTACATTTTAAATTCCAGTATTGATCTGCACTGTAAACAAACATCACAACAAAGTGCCACATGTTGGTCCACACTGCTGGGTCCCCATCGCTCTCTTATATTGTTTGAATTAAGTATGCGTTATTATTGGGCTCTACAGACTCTGGGAACAACTGTACCCAATAAGTAATACTTTGTTCTGACTTAAAGGCTTGATACCAGAGAGGGTAACTATAATCCAAGTGTGCATGTATCATATTTAGTTAAACCACCTTTCTTTTATGAAATGACTTGACTCGCATGTTTTAGAAAATATAAATACAGTAAAACGGCCTGGACATGTGAGGAGCAGTGTGATTGGTCTAACAGATATCCTCACATCAGACTCTATCCCTGCAGTCACAGACCTGAACTGATTTGTAGGTCTAATCAGGGCAGTCATGTGTGATGTCATGTAGTTCATAAAATTGCAGTGGCCACTGGAGGAAGCACAGGGACACACCCCCATATACCTAGTGTATATATTTATTGCTACTCGACTGACATACTGATCAGTTTTTGAAACTGAGGTTTTTGTGCTCAGTTTTTAATATTGTATCATGGGATTTTAAACAACAAAGGGCCTGTTGGATTGTGTGAAATGAGCTGTTTGTTTGTCCTGGTTCCATAGAGGCTGCAAAACCTAGCTAGAGAGTTGGATGTGGAGCTACCTATAGACCTCTGAGATGCAACAGGCTTTTTACATTAAATGTGGCAGAAGACCATCCAGAGGAAATAATTTGAGGGAATGGATCATTTCATCACACAACATGCATAAAATTGAGTTTGAAATTAATTTACATAATTTATTTGCATCATTTACTACTTAAATACTAAGCCCATAAACATTATGATATGCACTGTTAACATGTACATTTGTGAGGAAACATTATATATTGTTTTGAATTGAGTATACATTGTTATTGGAGGTCATGTATAAGGTCAGATAAATATGGGGGGTGTGGCTCTACAGACTTTGGGAACCAGTGCCGTAGACGACTGATAGATAGTACTGACCACTGGAAAAGTAAAAGCTTGTGTTGTTCATTGGTTAGTTACAATTTAACGACATCAGTGCTAATCAATTTCATTCTGAGAAACTGACAATAGCATTTCTGTATGTTATCACATTGGCTACATGGATTTACAAGCAAGGTCTTACACTGCTGAAAGGTATTTGAAGAAAAAGGAAAAGTCACTTGCAGCTATTACTGTTTCTTGTGTGTAACCTTGAGGTGTGCCACGAGGCCGCTGGAATTTTATCATGACAAAAGTAGCCAAGTAACAGAAATTATTTGAATTTATCAGAAAATCCAACCGCATTTACAGTTTATCTTTTGTCCCCTGCCAGTTAGAAGCATAATCTAACATTATTATTGTATATCAAGAATTTATCCCTTATTTGTTACAGTCACTGACAATTGGACATTTTCGGATTAGCTGCCAGTGGTAATACACAAGAGGCCTATTTAGATATGAATGACAGTCTATACACAGCATTCAGCAGTTTCCAGGATTCTACCCAATCCTCTGCTTTATCACAGTTCATAACAACTGCTCCTCTTCCAATTCATGACTCAAATAAGTAAAAAAGTATTGTGGGAGGAAGATCTGGTTTATAATTTAAGTTAATACAATTTGAAAGACAAAACATCAACTAATCCAACTCTTTTTATAATTATGCTTTATTGCAATATTTATTCATTTTTGGTAACAGATTTAGTCAACAGGCACATGTGGAAAAATGTGAATGTAATCTTGAATCAAAAAGTGACCATGATTTCTGTGCACTGGACATTGTGCAACCAAAAGGAGCTCCTGAGATATGCTCTGACCTATAATGGAAATCAGCAGTTGAACACAATTGTTTTAAGTGAAATTTCTCATCAGAACACCTCAAAAGCTCCAAAGATAAAATCCCTTTTATGCAGCTTGCCACGGAGGGTCAAACTGCTTTAAGATTTGGAATAATCTCAAATGGAAACTGAAGTATGCATGAACTCAGCGTCAGCATGTGCTGCTGGCACAGGGCTTTATTACGTCTCTGGCCTCGAGCATGTCCATAACCACTGTTTTAATGAGGTTAACCTCTGTAAAACACTGCATCAGGGCATATCTGCCACTTCTATCCTAACCCATCACTATGCATTTTCTTTTCTTTAAAAGGCTTTTCTAACATCCTCTCTCTTTCTCTCCCATATCTGCAAGTCCCCCCTCCAATCAGAGCGTGTGAGCATGTCCGAGGTCTGTGCCTTGCACCTCAAAAGGCAGCCTAACAAAAGCCCAGAGGCGGACTGAGAAAGAGGAGGGTGCTTGTGGTGAGATAGTAAAAGAGATAGATGAAGAAAGTAGGGGAGATGAAGAGTGCATGGGGCAGAATGAGACAGTGAGGCAAGCAGGCAACACTAAATTAGATGCTCTTGTGAAAAGACAGTGAATTAATTCCAAAGAGAATATTACATTGTGTCTTCTCGGTGCTTTTGCTCTTTCAGCGCTGGGACACAGCAGCACACAGGCTGTTGTGTATCCCAGCAGGCTCCTCGCTCTTCTTCGCCTCTCTATTCTCCATAGTAGGGTGTTCATACAGCCAGTGACATCTCAGAGTTTGTCATCTTCACCATTATTTAATCACTTTTCTGCAAAAATATGTAGCTTGTTTTCTCGCTATCTCTGTGAGTTTCTTAATGGTATTCTGCTTCCCCCCATCAACCAAAACATGCCAAATAGGCTAATGCTCCAGTAAAGAGGAGGAAGGGTCCCCAGGCACTGCACTGTGGTGGCCCACTGCTCCTGACAGTCGCCCCAGTGGTATTGAACAATGAGCCAACTGAACAGATTAAGTCTCTGGTGTATCTGAGTTACTGCATTTACATCCAAACCTGTACAAAGCCATTCATTGATTTCTTTGTTAGTTTCCCATGAGAACCGATCACCACAGAGCGAGCATTTTCCATAACTTACCCCCTCTGTCTGACCATAATAAGTGATCCGCAGTGAGCATCTGTTTCCACTATGGGCACGTTCAAGGCAGCAATCTGGTGGTTGTCTGGCCTCAGTCCCTCATAATCACAGACCACCAGCTCTTATTTGGCTTGAAATCATTACATTTGGACTACTTTGTTTGTCAATTTACATTTCCCTTCTAATATAATGAGTCAGTGTCATTTCTAAATGCTGTAATAATAACTTATACTTTTCTTTCTATAAACAGAAACACATTCCCTAAATATAATAAACACAACAACAAGTAAACTGTAATGGGCAGAATACGAAAATGTATTTAGTTACAGAATACTGAATACCTGCATTAAAATGTATTTTATAATGTTTTCTGATACATGATCAGAGTACTATATTCTGAATACTTAGAATACGCAGGGTTGCTTTTAAATTATAGTGTAAAGATGCAACATAGGATAAAAAATAGCTTTATATTTGTTTGATCAAAGAAGGAAAAATCACACTTGCACACATCACAAGAGCAGTAGCTTATAATTTTGTCACTAATTATGTACAGTTTGAAGCCTAAATTGTATGATAAAGTACCACCAAGTATTTTATTTTAGAAAAGTAACTGTATTCTGAATACCACCAAATGAAAGAGTAACTGTACTGGAATAAAGCTGATCAAAAATAGTATTCAGAATGTGTATTCTCTGTATTCACTTACTTCCCAACA